ATGGACAGCACCATGAAAGGGATTTGGCGTTCGTGGTTTGAACAGCGCATAGTGCATTGGCATTGCGCCTTCCATACCGGCTGGGTTGGAGCCACTTGGGACGGCGCTGCCTGGGATAGTTGGGGCCGTCATCCTCTCTGAGAGAAGTCCGAACTCGGGGACCAGTCCACGGATCCTTCGGCTAGCACGGTGAACAGGCGTTACCACCGGTATGGGGCTGGAGCTTCTTGTACTGGGAGGGGTTCGGTGCATAGGGTACCCAGCACCTCCACCAGTTGGCACGCGCTAGGAGCACGAAGAAACGTACAAGGAGACGTGACTGTCAAAATCTGAGACACAAAGGACATCTCCACTGGCACTAGTTGCTCATCTTCGTCTTATTCGTTGACTGGCACAGAGCTGGCTCACTGTTCACTGCCACAAAACACCAGGTGGCAATATCATTTTAAAATGCCTACAGTGATTTACATTAAAAAGCGGATCCCTACCGACGAGCATGGCCGGATGTAACGGCAGCTGCTATTGGTAGGGAAGCAAAAAGTGCTTGTTTCTCAGGGCATCTAGCTCATTGCAATGCACAAGGGTGTGGAGAACCGTAAGTTGTTCTCCACATCTCTCACACAATGGCGGATCACCACCAGACAAAAGGTGTGAAATGTGTTGAGTGAGCGTGTCATATTTGTAACCTTGTAAGTGCGACTTGTGTGTAGCGGGATCTGGATACTGTAGCGGGATCAGAATAATCGTAACATTTAGATTGATAAGTTCCTCTGAAACGAACTGTTACGAGACAAGACGAAAAGTTAGCGTAGGCGAGTACGTATCTGCCGCCACTGCAGCACAGCGCCGGCAGCGCGTCCCGGCCGTTCAAAAAGCCGAAGAGAGCATCGCGAGTTGGCGCGACGCGCTACAGATGGCGCCAGCTGTGTCACGTTTTGCGCCTCGCCGCGCGTCGACCGCGGAGAGGCTGAGAGAATTTAAAAAAAAAAAATGCGAAAAGCAAAGCGCCGCGCTCCGCGGCTCCCCGCCTTCTACAACGGCAAGCCGGCAAGCTACTCGTAGCTTGCCGAACAAAAGCGGGAAAGAGAGAGAAAATAAAAAAAGCGAAAAGCAAAGCGGCGCGGCGACATCGGGGCGGGGCCTCGTTGGCATTCCGGCTGTGTACCTCTGGCTGTGCTTTCTTCCTCCCACTGCTCCCACCCCGCCGTCGGTCAGTCTCTCTTCCTCAGCGAACCCGTGATGCGTTCTTCGGAGTAAGAAATAAAGTCTTGTTTTTGACATCCTACTATCTACAATATTTATTAATTGGTGAAAATAGCGAAATGAAGCCTGGAGCTACAAAAGGTACGTCCGGCGACGATTTTTTGGCGGCAGTCCAGATATAACAATCACCGGTTATAACGATCATATTTTTAGGTTTTCTCGATATCGTTATAAGTGGACTGCACTGTATAACCAAAACGACCTTTTTAAAAGGCCGCACTTGCTCAAAACGTGTTGAGTATGCAGCTTCGCGTGTCCGAGATTGGAAACATGCAATACGCGTTTGCTAACATTTAAATTTCTGAATGTTAAAAAAATTTAACGTCTAAAGACACACATTGCCAATGGAATTAATGCGAAAGGGGGAGGGGGAATTGTCTAACAAATGAAAGCACCATCGCGGAAATTCGCCGACTACCAGACCGTCTCGATTATGCGCATTACACAGAAACCCATGTCGAATCACGTCCAGAATTTGATGCGTTGAAAGACGACGACCATTCGATTACCTGGACGCGCACACTATATTTTCAAGACATCGCAATCAAATCGTGAACCACTATTTGAGCGCTACACGTCCCGCCCTAGTTTTCATGTAAGGATATGTATCCCTTTTCATCAACTGCGGCCACCGCAAAGAGTTTCCTTGATTCAGTACCAAACCGCAACTTAGATTCACGCGACTGCTACCGATCGAAGCGCAACCAATGCTGATTAGACCTAGCTTGCCGTTTGGTATGTTGTCGTGGAAAGCTTGTCCAAAACATGAGGACTAGGCATCAAAAAGATCGCACATTGAACCGAGAACCCCCTGCGTGATACGAAGTTAGCGTTTGGGGATGGTAGATCAACAACGGTCGACAACTCGCCACGCTTAAGTACGAAAGCACACTGGCAGCAAAGGTAGGGAGCTTTAGAATACCGTTTGCAAGCGCTGCAGGCACCATATGAGTTTTAGAATAGCGTTCGCTCTGCTGCAAAGCGCAACGCATGATCGCAGTGACACCGTAGCTTCGAAACCAGCGTTCGCGGGACACATGCAGGTCGCGATCGCCGCACGCTAGTTCGGATTTTCTGCGTGCGGGCCACGAATGCGAACGCCGACTTGCGCTATGTCGCATGCGGAGTGGGAGCGACCGCACCACAAGGGCTCGCGATGCGCTGTTCTAAAACTCCCTAGTGAAAGAAGTCTTTTCCGACAGGAAACTTAAACGCATGTAGTTGATACAGACGAGATCGCACATGCCACGCTGAGGCGCGCGGCCGAAGTCACGCTAGCGACGTAGTACGTTGTAGCCACGTCGGCGCCGGTGCAAAGGTTTTTCGGTCATCGAGGCAACTGTCCTCCTTTACTCAACAAACCTGCACAGTGCCCCGCGGTCTTTTTTTTTTTCATTTTCTTTTCCTTCCCTCCGCCCTTCGTTCGTTCACTCCGTGTCCCCCTCCTCCTCCGTAACTACCTCGTCGTCTGCTTATCAGCAGCGCACTTAGTGCTACTTGCTAATGCATTTATCACAAACAATTTCTGGCGACCGCATTATAACCGGTCATTCATCTTGGGGAACTGCACAATAAGCGGTATGTGTATACATGGGATTCTATGGGAGGGTAAACAAGAGTAGAAAAAGACCACATTAAAAGCGTTTCTGCACTATAAGTGTTCAACACTGCATACTCTACTTGAAAGCATAGTTTTTATCAAGCTGAGCTAAATAAATGCTTTTTCTTATTTCTTTCCTCCACATTCTAAGCATACTTCATTCAGTGTATTCAAGCAACATATTTGGGTGCACTTGGCATGTTAGCATCTGGTTTTGGGGGGCATGTCTGATAAGACAAACTCCTAATAAGACGAACAAATAATTGTGGTCCCTTGGAGTTTGTCTTAAAGGAAGTCTACTGTATATTCAATATCATGCTACAAAAAAAAACCTAAATGGTCATAGAGTTTCATTATTACAGATTATATATCTCCCTTGGAGTTTGTCTTAAAGAAAGTCTACAGTATATTCAAGATCATGCTACAAAAAAAAAAGCTAAATGGTCATAGAGTTTCATTATTACAGATTATATATCTCCCTTGGAGTTTGTCTTAAAGGAAGTCTACTGTATATTCAAAACCATGCTACAAAAAAAAAAAAAACCTACCGTATTTACTCGATTCTACCGCGCCCTCGATTGTAATGCGCACCCGGTTTCCACGACGGAAAAAAAAAAGTAAGACAACGATTGCAACGCGCACCCATTTTTCTCATTCGCCCACACGATCACACCACTCGGGAAAAAGACTCCTTTCGGGAGCGTCTTCCCTTTAAATATGAGGTACGGGGGAAGTTTGTGCCTACCTAACGTGCAACGGAGCATTGCCGTCACTCTAGTTTTACCGTGGCCCGATGTCAGCACACGAACTTGCTTCGCCCCCTTCTTCTCGACGGTTGTGGTGCCAGGCATGTCGAAGTAGAGAGGCATGTGATCGGCATTCCCGATTTGCCCAAGCAGGGAGCAGTTGTTGTGCCGCAAGTTTAGGACGAACCTCTGAAAACTGAAGCTTTTCTTCGTACTCCTTCGGCAACTTTTGGCATATGCCCGTTCGCCTTCAGAGGGAAAAGCCTTTCCTCTTCATAAAGTTAGTTAGCCAGCACCTGCTGGCTTTAAACTGGCTCCACATTAGCCCTTTTTTTAATGCTAACTGCACAGCCTGCACTTGGAGCAGTTCTGTCGTCACGGGCCGCTGTGCCGCTCACTGCTCAATCACATACTCGCCGAGCAGCTCTTCAATTTGTGAAAACCGACCCTGCTGTGGTCTGCTGAAGCCTTTGCGTGAATTTTTGCTGTCGACAATATTCTGCTTTTGTTTCCGCCAGTCCCGCACGCACGTTTCGGGAACTTTGAACGACCGTGATGCAGCCCAATTTACGTTCGTTTCGGCACACGCGATGACTTTTCTTTTAAAAGCGGCATCGTGGTGCACTCGTCGAGTTTTTGGAGTCGGCCCTTCTATGCCGTCGATGCTAATGCACACCAAGATGACGAACTCCTCAGCACACTTACGAAGTACCGCACATGAGAAACACATAGGCAGAAATGGCCGACGCGCCATGCTGACGCACGTAGGGGGCGGCCATTTTGGAATGCCGATGGCAATAGAATGTCTGTATTAATTTTTTTTCGTACTCGATTCTAACGCGCATGCGATTTATGAACTCACTTAACCGGAAGAAATGTGTGCGTCAGATTCGAGTAATTACGATAAATGGTCATAGAGTTTCATTATTACAGATTATATATCTCCCTTGGAGTTTGTCTTAAAGAAAGTCTACTGTATATTCAAGATCCTGCTACAAAAAAACATAAATGGTCATAGAGTTTCATTATTACAGATTATATATCTGAAAAAGAAAGGGGGGGGTCTGAGCAGCATCTCTTTTCAGGGTACGATTCAAATAGCCAAAAACATACCCAGCAAAAAGGGCCGGCTATATCTTACACTGAGAGACCACCACTGGGCTAATTGAAAAATAAAACGTAGGTGGCACAGATCATTCTGTGCACAACGCCAGATGCTTCCCTTTTTGGCACAAGAGTCAAAGTTTTGCAAAACGTTGAAAATCAACACACCAGATATTGAACCTTATAAATGTTCCCTCATGTAATCGATGCAGCAAACTTAAACCTAAGAGAGCACATCTTAATTAAACACTGATCTTTCCTAACATGCTGCTAAACAAAGATTTTACCTTCTCCGTTTCCAAAGCCAAGAGGCGCGCCTGGGAATTGGCTGCAGAGCTGTGCAAAGCATCACTCCTCTGCTCAAACATGCTGTTACTCACCTCCATGAGCCTGTAGAAACAGTACAAATGCAAGCATATGCTTAAGTTCAACCCTTTGTCTAGGAAGACACATTTGAACATTCAAGAAAATTAAGCTATTATGTTAACAGTCTGGTGTTTTAGACGCCGAAACTGCAACAGGATTATGAGGCAAGCCATAGTGAGGAATTCTGGTCTCAATTTAGCCACCATGAGTCCTGAAGAGGCACCCAATCAAAATATCAAAACACAGTGGCAACTAGATATCAAACCCCAAACCCACCACCTCATGATTCAACAGAAACGCCAAAGCAACTTAGCCACTACAATAGGTAAAAAACATTTAAATAAATTAAGGGCAAAAGTGGAGTGGATGCAAATTAAATATAAGAAAGAGCTACTGGGAAAAAAAAAGAAAACCAATTTCAACAGATGCTATTATTTAATGATGCTGTTAACCCTCTGTTGAGCATTGTTAAAGAAAGGGCCCAATGAATAACGCTTCACACCTGCACATTTAACATCAGCCAAATAACAAGTAATGTCATAGTTATCACAAATATTCATCTAAAAACACTTGAAAATTTGATAAATCATTTTTTTTTTTGCATAGCTTCCACTGGCAAACTGTGCCACAAGTTACAGGCATCGGGAAAAAAAAAAAGAAAACAAATCGGTACGGGTTTAGAGTAAACTCTCACTTGTACGAATGTCAGTTTAACAAATATTTCAGAACGAACTTTTTAGAAAATGCCCGACGATTTTCTTATGCATTCTATGTAAAAATCTTTCAGTTAAATGAATTTCAGAATAGGGAATCTTTCAGTGGAACAAACATGCTCCACGAACCCAGGCTCATTTTTAAAATCAATTGAACCAATTTTTGTGCACTGCAGCACTGGCATAGCCGATGCGAGCCGCCCCTAAATCGCCCATCCATTGGCAGCAGCGCGACATCGCTTGTGCATGCAGCCCCGCCGAGGCAAAGCGGCTATGCGGGAGATGAAAACGAGTCACGTGCGCATCAGCTCACCGGCGCCCCTTCTTTTTTTTGTCCGTCTCATCGGCATCCGTCGGCGCCATCTTCATTTCAAGAAACAACAGCGCATTTCACGCGCCGTGTGCCCACTTTCGTAATGATGTCGATGAAACGCAAGTGGTTGACTGTCAGACAAGCTCAATATCCTTCACTGTCTTGACAGCGGACAAAGGCAAGTGAACGATGCGAAGACATACGGAATTGCATCGTCAACGTTGTCAACCATAGTCAAGCAAAAATCTAAGCTCGAAGGAGAAACTTCGTTCAAACAACTCTGCACAGGACATTTCAAGGCAGTGGATGATGCCGTTGCGGTATGGCTTTGCGACCTGCAATCTCAAAACATACCCATGTTCGGCCCGATGATACAGTGCAAAGCGAAGTCGCTCTGTTTCTGGACGTTCGTGGCTTCGAAGTAAGCAAGGGTTGGCTTACAAGATTTCGGGGTAGGCATGGGATCGCGTGGAAAACAATTTGTGGTGAAAGCAAGGATGCTAACCTTGAAGCGGCGAGAACCTGGAGGGATGAAAAACTACGGGACATCATTAGTGCATATTCATCTGATGACATTTACAATGCGGACGAAACTGGCATGTTTTATCAGGTTCTTCCAAACAAGACAATGGCATTCAAGAATGACAGTTGCAAAGGCGGGAAGCGATTGAAAGCAAGGATCACTGCACTGTTGTTCTGCAACGCTAGTGGCAGCCACAAGCTCAAGCACCTAATGAGAGAAAAATACGCAAAACCGCGATGTTTTAAAGGTTTTCCTTCACTTCTATGCACGTATAAAAGCAACCAAAAAGCATGGATGACCAGGAATCTCTTCAGTGAGTTGCTGCTGAGCATCAACGAAGAAATGAAAAAGGCAAAAAGAAAGATTCTTCTGATTATAGACAATTGCTCTGCACATCTTGCCGATCTCCATTTGAGCAATGTGCGTGTCAAATACGTCCTGCCAAATCGTACTGCCGTGCTTCAACCGCTCGACTTGGGCACCATACAGAACTTGAAGGTCAAGTACCGAAGGCAACTCGTGCAGCAAATTTTATTTAATATAAGGATTGGGAACAATGAGCCCATCAATGTCAGGCAGGCGGCCGAGATGGTGACAGGCTCGTCGTGGTCAGTCTCACAGGCTATAATTAAAAACTGCTGGCACAAATCATGCTTTTCTCCCATGCAGGATGCAAATGAGCAAGAAGAGCATGACAAGGTCAGTGAGAAGGAGGAAGAAAAAGGCGTGGTCATTGACTCTGAAAGGTGGACAGAGGTCTGTCAACAGCTGGACGTTTACAGTGGTGCTTCATTTGAGGACTATGTGCAGTGTGACAAGGATCTTTTCAGTTGTGCAGAAGTATCTGATTTAGAAAGTGTTTCGAGTGTTTGTGCGGAACCAGAAGAAGAGTGCCACGAGGAAGTCGCAACGACTGAGATAGGTTCAAATCCTGTAACTTTAGCAAAGGCAGTACAGTATGTTAGAAAGTTGCAAGACTTCGTGTCTCAGCAACCAGCTGTGCCAGAGGCACTGCACAGAAACCTAGACTCTCTGGAAAGCTTTGTCTTTTCTTGTGCTTTAAGGGCACCAGTGCAAATGACAATCACAGATTTCTTTTGAAAGTAAATTGCATTTCACACTTTTGACTAATGTCTGCTGTGCCCAATGCTGTTCCATATTCTAGTGAATATTTAGTTAGGTGAACTATTTCCTTGGGTCCATTGAAGTTCACTCAGTTGAGAGTTCACTATATATTGGTTGCATAGTGAGGAGATTGTTTGCAGAGACCATTTTTCAAGATGCTGTTTTATATATGTATATCTGAAAAAATAGTTTCAATCGACACTTCTGTTTTTTTCTTCTAACAGTTCCAAATCACAAGCCTTTAACATGTTCATTACCGAGTCTGTTTGCCTGCATTTCAAACAAATAAAGCATGCAGAAATTCCCTAAATATGCTCCATTTTTTTTGCTCAAGAATCTCCTGATAACCTTTTGATGAAGGTACTTGCATATTCTAAAGCTCGATATACATAAGTTTTATATGCCACTAATATCACCTTTTTTGTCACTTTCAGTATTTTTCCTCAAAAAACAATTTTTGATAAGCTGATGAACAGATATTGTCCACATGATGAGTCCAATTTAATTTATCTGGCGTTGTTACACCCACACACTTAGCTAGTCACATTAATCAGAATTCTCCTCAATCTTATGTTCAAACGAAAGCGAAATTTTCTTTTCGTTAACCGAGTGTAAGCAATCAATTTCCATCCGCCCCTTCTCTGCATCATGAATGTAGCGACTGAAGATACCCATTAATTTTAAGCTGGCCATCTATGTATGTAACTTGGCAATAAACTGAAAAAAAGATTGATTTTTATAGGCATTTCGACAACTGAGGCTATGTCATTTATATACAGAAGAAAAGAAGTAAATTTTTTGTATTAGTACACAGAAAAAGCAGATGTAAAAAAATAAAGAAGATATGTGTGTAAAATGTAAATTTGTGCTTCAATTTAAAGCAAGGAATTACACAAGGTGTTAAAGATTTGTTCAGTACAATGCAATCTAATTACTGGCTTGTCTTACCATTATACAACTATCTGCTATCTTGCAGAGCATGAAGCAGAGGTGCCTTGCATTTTGATTTTATGTACATGTCAGTTTTCAAGTGCTTATTTTCTAAAACGAGCATTGATTCACCATTTACAAACACAGTATGACTATTAAAAAATGGAGGATTGACAAAGTTTTTGTGAAAAGTAACAAGGTTTTTGACTGGGCTAGTTGGTGAAGATACATAATAGCTAACAGCGCACTCTGAGACATGGACAAAGATGGGATGCACGAAGACAAGCGCCGACTAACAACTGAAATCTATTTTGAAGGAACATGCGGGTATAAATATGCAGAATTGCCCACGAGCGAGTACATGCAGTTGAAAGCGTTCTTTGACCACAATAACACGTAATCATTTACAACAAGTTAAGAAAAGCACGACTGTAATTGCTGGAACATGTGAGAAAAAGGCTAGTGCCAGAGTTGACACTAGTGCCAGAGTTCTCTCTAGTATATTTAGGAAACTATGTTGAATGTACCTGATGAAACGAAATTACTCTCTCCTATTGCGATTCCTGTAAGCAACTGTCAAACTACTGTATAATGCTAGCAGACTATGGAGTGTGGCGCTGGCATGTAAGCACACCCCATGGCAAGTGCATCTGATCCAAATGCCATTCTTGATTTATGTCTGCTATTCATGCTGTCTGCTGTTAGGCATCAAACAGAAGACGCCAGCTATTGAGTTTCCTATAATACACTAGAGAAAAAACTGGCGCTCGTGTCTATGAAAGCAGAAACGCACAGCGCCTCAGTGAGCATGGGAATGATGGGTAGCTCAAAGATTCGTCGAAACTTTGTTTGGCTCGGTGTGGCCTGAATCCACTTTGCCAAAAGACTGAAGGATTGCAGTGCCACAGTTCCCTCTAGTAATTACTGTAGGAAACTATGGCACTACAGTCAAATACCCCTACAATAAAATTGACGGAATGCATGAAAAAATTCCTTGTCCTAGAATTTCATTGTAGCACAATTTCATCTATAGACCACAAAATTTGGCAAGATCTGATGATTACGACTCGTTCTTTGGTCCCTGCAAGTGCATGAATTGAACTCTCGCCAACTCAGACGTACCTGGCCTAACACTAAGTGAACATATTTTCTTGCGTATAACGCGATCAAAATATACAGAAAATTTAGAGCTGAAGTCTGGGTGCGGGTTGTAGAATAATTTTGGCACGCAAGTTGGCTTCATAGCATGGCTTCACAGGAATGCAGAAAAGGCGGCTTTGCATCAATACGCTTTTTTCTTCCCGCGGTTTGCAGCCGGGGTGCCGCTTATATGCAGGGATGGGTTATACAGAAGAAAATACAATATTCAGACGACCCTTGGGGCATGCCCAAGGCACAGCAATGCAAACGAGTGTGCCAA